AGTTTGATGTTATTATATTTTTTTTACTAAGCAACATAGGACACTTCCTTATGAGATTGTTACAAGGTCATCATCTTCAGTGACTCCAGACAGATGTATAGAGTACATGTAGTACTATTTTTACTTAATATTTTAATATTCTTAATATTTAATATTCTTAATATTTTACATTCTGAATATTATTTTGCAATTAGCCTTCAAGCATGAGTTTGCAAATAAACTATTATTTGGAACCTTATTATGACATAGTGTGAGGACAATTGTTGTACACATGATAGATGATGAGTACCTGTTGTGCCATCGGTAGGTTGTGGGTCTGTGGCGTTCCCACTACAGTAGTACCTGGCACTACAGTTTCCCTCGGGCATCCCCATGCCATAGCTGGGACAGTACTGCCCAGGCTCACAGCCCTGACATTGGGCTTCAGTCCACAGACCTGCAGGAACAAGAAATCTGAGAATCTAGTATGCAATCCTTCATAATGTACAATCAAAAAGAGGGCATTCTTGTGATAGCTGTGCATGTGTCACACTTAGATCCTTGTCGGAAGGTTGATTCTGACACAGCCTGCTTAAAAATCCTACAACATCAAAATCTTACAACAACCTACAGCAATTGTGACTGCACCCTTACCTGTTGTAGGATTGTATGTGCCAGGTGGGCAGGGCAGTGTGGTGTTGGTGCCAGCTGGACAGTAGTAGCCAGGTGGGCAGATGTCACCTGTGTCACCATCATCAGGTGTGGCAGTCCAGGCACCTGAGATGCAGTAATACCTGCAAAAGGGAAATGATGAGTAAGCCAGTCTGGATTTCTAATGTGGACAGGCTGACACAAAAAATTTGGAGTTTTGGTTAACTTCAAGTTCACAACCCTACAGAAAGCATTTTGGGTTTTTGTGAATGTAATGGAACTATGGTATTACACCACTTCTTGAATTCCTCCACATACTGATCAATTACATCCCCCCACATGCTGAGTCACTTTCAGGTGTGACCTCCCTATCAATCAACTGTCAAATTAAATCACTTCCCATTTATCATGCAACTGAAGCTATTAGGACAAGTCGAGATACAAACCCACAGCTCAGCAACCCAAAACTTTTACTTCAGTACCTAAAAGTAATACATGTAAGTTTAAATTGGATCAAATATAAAATACAAAACATTACTAGTGATCATCTTTCTTCAACCTCTACTTGCAGAACTAAAATCCCATAGCTTCTGCCTAATATTCCCTTACCCTTGTTCACATTGACCCGTAGGTGCAGGTAAGCCCTCCTGTCCGCAGTATTGTCCACCTGGACACAGCGTACACTCGCTAACATCCTCCAGCTGGGTGCGGTCACTGTAGGTGCCGTTAGGACAGCCGTGCTCCGTGGCGTACTTGGTGCCGTTGGGACAGTAGTGTCCCACGGGACAGACCTGGGGGTTCTGGACTCCATGGGTGCAGAGGGTGTCATTCTGCAGGGTGGAGTCACAGTAGAACCCAGATGGGCACTCCTTACAGGTGGCCTGCAAGAGTAAAAAAATGACATTAAGTTAGAATATTGATTAACTAGAGAGGTAACATTTGCAAGCAAATGCAGGATGTTACCTTCACATGGTCTTGCCTACCATTTCATTGGGTATAAGGATAGACGAATATTCTGCATTTGACAAAATGGCCAAGGTTCAGTGTCAAGGTTCAGTACCAACCTACCAGCTTGCCAAATTTTAACTTTTTCCAAGCTTTAATTTTGGAGATATTGATATTTCTTATATGTTTGGAGAAGAAGAAGAAGAAGAGGAAGAAACTGAGCAAAAACAATGTTTCATGTAACATGACAATCTTTACAGAAGAGTCACAAGATACAGGATTATAGCAATGAAGTGCTCCTGCTATTCATGATCAGCAACCTTGTAATCTGTTATGTATCTCAGGGGGACTTAAAACTGTGCAGCAAACGTTGTGGATGTCTTAGGCTATGATTACAAATGTATATACCAAGGCAGGCATATCTAAGTAGGTGTGGTTGAGTAGCTGGTATTCTTGATATACTCAGTCTGTTGTACCTCACCTGCCCAAAATCATCCTGGTACGAGCCTGGCACACAGGTCACCTGATCAGCACTACCTTCCTCACAAAAATGACCAGGTGTGCAAATGTAGTCATCTGGACTGCTGACATTCTGACCTCCGGGACAGTAGAAGCCGGCATCACAGGGGCCAGTGGGCTCAACCAAGCCGACTGACCCACAGAAAGAGCCTGTACAACAGATGCAACACAGTTAGTACTGCACACCAACTGGTTGTATGTCCAAAATCAATTCTATCATATTCTTTACCAGGATTTCTCCTAGCGTATTCAAATAGTAAATTCAAGAACATACTCGCCTGTGATTAGCCACACATTGTACATTGTATTGCATATGTAGATGTCTGTACATCACAATGTTTAAAAAAAATGTATGTACATTGATAGCCATAAAAAACACTTTCTTATCCCACACTACAATTTGTGTTGGAACAAAGTTAGATCCTTCTCCATACTACTAACTTAAGGTAAATCTCATTTAAAGTGCATGTTATTGTTTCACATCTTACCAGGCAGACATGATCTGCAGTCCATGAACTCAGTATTTCTGCTGGAGTTGGTGTAGAAGCCAGCTGGACAGGGAAGGGGGTCAGCCGTGCCCTGTGGACAGTAGTGGCCTGCTGGACATTCAGCACCAGTTGTGTTGTCTGTAGGCGTTGGGATGGCGGCACCACTGCTGCAGTAGTACCCAGCCGAGCATTCCCCAGTTACATTAGCCTGGCCAGCAAGCTCACAGTAGTAACCTGGAAAACAACAATCCAGCAGTCAAACCATGCAATTCTTGCAGAACTTTGATCAGACACAGCACACTATGTTCCCTGTAAAACAAGTACTGAAAAACTAAATTGGTGATTTCAAACTTCAGGGAAGCATGCAATCCTCCACTTCCTAAATCCCCCCTTGTCAACCCGTAAGTCCTGCTGTCTCCTGGCCAGATTCTGTAACCTTTGACTTCCTGTCATTCTGCCTGTTGATCTCCCCTGCTTACTTGCTGTCAACCTACTCTGTCAGGACAAAAAGCTTCACAAACGCAAAGCTCAGCTACTAAAAACAATAACAATGTTGGTTTTGATGACCTACACTGACAGTCATCTCATCTCAACATGTTTTTACTATATCCATTCAACTTAAAGTTTATAATTACAATGCAGAATTAAATACACTCTTTATTAAACCAGAACACATACAGTGACTTAATTTTCTTTTCACCAGCTATTAAGACTGACAGGTTTGCAAGAGGTATTTGACACAAGACTGACACTCAAAGGACAGACAATCCCCACAAACTGACCTGGTGAGCATGGCAAGGGTTGACTGGATCCCGCAGGACAGAACTCTCCAGGCTGACATTGACCTCCAGTAGAGTTGGATGGACAGAAACAGTTGCTGGTGATGTTGTTGACATCCCCTTGGTCTGTAGGCTGGGCTGACCAAGCTCCTCTGATGCAGTACCACCCAGGGGCACAGGGGGCAGTAACGTTCCGACTACCTGCACTGCCACAGTAGTAACCTGGGACATGACAACAATTTCCATTGAGTCAAATTTTCATTGTAAAATCTGTCATTTTCAGGCAACAGTACTATTTTGTCATGTCATGCAGTTCAGATTTTTGTTAGGGATAAGGTTAAATTTATGTCCAGGGACAGAAGGGATGGATCCTGGAGATAGCCCTGCTTGAAACAAAGAAACAAGCCCTGTCCTTGGTGCTGATCTTCCTGCTGCTTATAGTCTAGTCAACAGTATTGGATAGATTTGCCTCTTACATGATATGCATGCACCAGTTGTCCCCTTGATATTGTATTATGGACAGGAAAAGGACAAACAAACAACAAGGCATAATACATATGCATAACATGACTATTCTAGTTTAAAAGCTGGCTCGCAATTGTATCTTGTTGGATTGGACCTCTTTTCTTGAGACAGTATAAACTAACAGTAAGAACTAACAAACTGACCTGGTTCACACGGCTTGCAGTCATCACTGCTGGCCATGCCTACATAGTCGTTGTAGTAACCCTTTTCACAGGGGTGCTGAGTAGCGTACTCTGTAGCTGAGGGACAGTAGTGGCCCATGGGGCAGGGGTGGTCCAGATATGTTGTTGAGTTAGCAGGGCAGTAGTACCTAAACAGCAAGGGCACAACAGAATAAATTAATACATTATCTCAAGGGCTTGTACATCTGAGCAGTACATGTAAAGATTAGAGTCAGTCAGGTGCAACTTCCTTACAAGAAATCAGAGATTTCAGACATTCAGGAAGTATTTTGAGATCTTGTGTTTCCAGTTTTTGTTAATATATTGGAAATGTGGAGGCTGGTTGGTTGTATGACGTAATTTAATTGGATGACTACTTCCTGAATTCCTCCACATACTGCCCACCAGCAACATACTGGGTCATGCTTAGGTGTGACCTCCTTATCAATCAACTGTCAAAATCACCTCCCATTCACCATGCAACAGAAGCAACGAGGACAGAGACACAAACCCACAACTGAGCCACCCAAAATAATACTGAAATTAAGACCCTACAGAAACTCCTACATGGCATCTGGCCAAACCCAGCAGAATACATTATTATTATTTCATGTATCATCTCCAGGACCCTGAACTGGGCAGACTTACCCCGGCTCACAGTCCACACACTCTGCCTGACCCTCCAGGGGGTTGTAGGTTCCAGCGAGGCACCCCAGGGGGAACGAAGTGCCATTTGGACAGAAGAATCCTGAAACATGTTCATGTGGTTATGTTGATGCTTAGACTATACATAATGGCTCATTACATGTAGTGAAAAGCATCACAAACAGGTCTAAAAATTTGTGATACATCATTGCATAATTTTGATGTCGTAGCATTTTTAAACAGTATGTACCTGCAGGGCAGGGTCCACTGGTGCCGTCAGCTGAGGGATTGTTGGGATCTTGAGCTCCTCGCAGACAGTAGAAGCCAGCGTGGCAGTCCCCACTTGGCTCTGTCAGCCCCTCCTCCCCACAGTACTGCCCATACAGGCACAACTCACATTCAGTCTGAAAATAGAAACGAAGGGATAAGGTTAATATGCATTCTATATATTAAAACATGATTGTGGAGGTTACTGCAATATGAGAATTTTTGTATTTGTATGTCCATCATTGTATTTTTAAGAGCATAAATAAGTTCAATGACAAAAAACACTCAAAATTGATTGCCATATTTCGTATAAAAGCAAACTGTTGTAAATTGATAACTTACAAAGTTGGTGAGTTTTGTGAGGTTACTGAATCTTCCTCTCGGACATGGCTCTGGTGTAGATGTTCCTACTGGACAGTAGTGACCAGCTGGACACACTCCAGCCACACCTGGTAAAACATCAGGCCACAATCCTTCATAAGTGTTTCTTTAGCAATTGCTAAATTAGTTTTCATGAATTTCAGGAAGTTAGTCTAGCTTTTCTCGAGAAATGACGTTTCTGACATAGGGAGAAGAGATGCTGTTCCAATAACCCAAATCTAGTTGCCTAGAAGTGCCCAGAAGTGGTCTTTTACAATGAGCAAATTTAAAAAAAAATCTGTGGATACTTGGTGAATAGACTGATCCCAGAACCCAGCTCACCTCTAGCAAATGCAAAACAAAACCATAAAATGCAAATATCTGATGGACAAGGAGCTGCTCTCTCATTGGTCAAACTGCTAATTGACATGCTATCATTGGTCAAACTGTTAATTGACATGCTATCATTGGTTAAACTGCTAATTGTGGATGAGTCTATCTCCATACTGACCTGTGTACGTGACCTCTGGTGTTGCTGTGTCGGACCCCTCCTGGCAGAAGTACCCGGCAGCGCAGTCATCAGTCACAGACGTGGCATTGGGCCGGGAGCAGTACTTGCCAGGGGAGCAGAGCGTACACTGGGTCTGGTTCGCCAGGCCGTCAGCTGTGCTGAACGTTCCCGGGGGACAGGCCTGCCAATCAAAGCCTGTTCCTTCTGGACAGTAGTAACCTGGGGGCAAAAAAGCAATGCAAGAGAAACCAGTTACTATTACAGTAATTCATGGTTATCTGTACTAAATGTATTATGCAAAAGTTTTATGCAAACTGTGTGACATAAAAATTCAGACAGACCTGAACTCAACTGAAAAAATGGGACACCTACCAATGGGACACCTCTGAGGCTCGAAGCCAGACACACAGTAGTGGCCAGGTGTGCAGAGGTCACATGCTTCTGCCTGGGTGGTGACCATGTATGTTCCTGGGCTACAGGGGATGGGGTGGGCAGTGCCCTCCGGACAGAAGTGACCGGCCCAACATGGAGCACCGGTCAGACCGCCGTCATCTGGTGTTGGTGTGGTGGCACTGTTGTTGCAGTAGTACCTGTCAACACAAACATGGGGTATATCTTCAATATCTACCTGGAAAAGTAACATATATGAAAATTGCAAGAATGTGTATATATAACTTACATGTAAAACATTAATTTTACATTTGGAAGCTCACACCCAAATTGCAATTAAAGTCATTATGACAAATACTACAAGGCAAAGTGAACATTGAAGACATTAGTTGTCCTCACATTTGCCATTAACAAATCAATGACTTATGCTGAGTACCTCACAATCACATCAAAGAAAAATGTATCCCACAATATATTGGAAATACATATTTTGTGTTGTGAATTCGTGATAGAAAGATGACTGTAAAAAAACCACTGCGGACATTATCTCGATTATACAAGACAAGTGTAGATTTTGTCATCTAAAGGTGCATTGAGAAATGTAACGGGTACAAACCCTGCATCACATGGTCCTGAAGGCTCGGTGAGTCCAGTACCATTGCAGTAGTACCCTCCCGCGCAGGGGAAGCAGTCGCCAGCTGCCTTCAGCTCTGTACTGTTGGACCAGGTGCCAACAGGACAGCTTTCAGGTGCAGGGGTACCTGTACAGAAAGACATCAGATAAATGTACAGATACCACCAAGCTCTTAACAAATGGGGCCAGGAAAAATTTGTTAGACTTCACTGCACATCCCGTCCAGTCAACCTCTTTGAAACTTAGATTCTGCTATGACCTAACAAGTCATTTCTTACTTCAGAAGTGTCCCACAATATCTGGTAAAGCAAATACAGAACAAAAATGAAAAAGCAGGACTACACACAGAGTAAGCCACTCTGCCTGAACAATACCTTAGTAGGTGAAAAAATGAAAACAGCTGACCTTCTATGCAGAAGTGTCCCTCTGGACAGCTCTCTCCAGTATCTCCATCGGTCGGTACCTGCGACCACGATCCATTCTTACACCAGAACCCGGCATTGCAGTCACCTAGACATGGTTATCCAGCTTTAGTTAATATTTGGTAAATCAAATGTATAACTAAATAGACATAGGTTTAATCTATATAATTATGATGATATAAAACAAACTTAGCAAAAATGTTTTGTTGCTGAGTTTTCCCAAATTGAGTCCTAACAGAGACATGAACTGTTCCACTTCTGCTTAGCACTCAGAGCTTATGGGAAATAATATTGGGGCTAAACACAAACCACTACAGTAAACTAAACCACTGCTGTAGTGTCATTTGTGCTTGCAGAACTGTGTGGCCAAAGGGCTAAGGCATATACATTGAACACAGCCGGACTGGACAGGTATACATGACTTGTGTATAGTGGGAAGGACTTTTGTTGCTAAGTTTGGGCTTGGTCACATACAGCATTGTGATCATCATTATGATTATGAACTGGTGGTATTTGTGTCAAACTTTACAGTACCTGTGACTGTACTGAGCCCAGTGTCCTGGCAGTATTTCCCTGGAGGACAAGGGTCACATTGATCACTCCTCTCCAGCATGCTGGCACTGCTGTAGGTCCCACGGGGACAGCCGTGTTGGGTGGCAAACTCAGTTCCATTGGGACAGAAGTACCCCACAGGGCAGGGGTACCTGCTGTAGTCCACTACTGGGGTGTTGTTCCGATCACAGTAATATCCTGTTAACATAAACAGCAGGACCTGGTCTACATGTATTTCGTTCATAGTAAATATAAGTTGGCAAGGTTGTCTCATAGTATGTAAAGGTTACAGAGTCTGACTTAGAATCTGAAGGTTGTGGGTTCAAATCCCTAACGGTCCCCAGAAATCTGCCAACCTGAATATAACATCCATACCTGATGGGCATTCCTTGCACTGGGGCTGTCCTTCCTGGTCTTGCCAGGTGCCTGAATCACATGCTGTTGGCTCAAAACTGCCCATTTCACAGTAATAGCCAGCTGGGCAGGGGAATGGGTCACTGATGTTCTGGCCTTCTGGACAGTAGTACCCTGGAGGAAAACATGCCATCAGTTCAATGCATGGCGTCAACTAGGGAGACCTTTATTGCAAGGGAGAATAAAGGTATGGCACAGTCGCATTTGTCGTAGGTTGTCTAATATATGATTTTGATGCCATAGAATTTGAAAGCAGGCTGTGACAGAACCAATCCCCAATAAGGATCTAGGACAGTTTTTCCATATCAAGGCAGCTGAATTTTGCATGACACATGTATGACTGTTCCAAGATTGTATTCATGATCAGTTTGGAATTTTACATTGACTGTGCAACATTTGTAACTGGGCACTTACTAGATACAAGTTAAAGAGATACATGTACATGACAGGGTTCTCACCAGCAGAGCAGGGTCCTGTGGGTTCTGTGAGTCCAGGGGTCTCACAATAGTAGCCAGCCGTGCAAGGGAGGCAGTCCTGGACACTTCTCCTGCCAGTAGAGTTGGTGTATGTGCCAATTGGGCATAGAGACGGGATGCCTGTTCCATTTTCTGTTGTTTGAAACAAGAATCAGGATTATTATCACGCCAATCAGTACCTTCAAAGGCTAATTTGAAAGTTTGGTGGAAGACAGACAAAAACATGTACATGTGCTTTATCTAATATATGTATTTTCCCACTGGCACTGCCCCCACAGACTCACTGCCAACTTCTTTCTGCTACCAGCCAGCTCTGGGACCTAGCCTCCTGTAGCTGACCTTCTGTGGTCTGTGGTTAGGAAATTTCCCCACCCACATTCCATCACTCAACTGTACGAATACACAAAAAACACACCCATAAAAATACCTCCACACACAGAGGAAATGAGTAACTGCTTGTTCACTAATCTGCAGTAGAAAACTGCCAGGATGGTTTGGTTGTGTCTGCTTGCTTACCACAGTATCTGCCTGGAAGACAGATGTTTCCTGTGGTGCCGTCTGTCGGGTCCCACCGACTGGCACCTCCACTGCAGTAGTACCCCCTCCAGACACGGGCCAGTAGCACTGGACAGGCCTGCAATGTAACCATTTGAAAGATAACTTAGACGCAATTACAACATACTTGGGACAACTCCACGCATTGGAGTTTCGAAGGGTGCTCTTATACAAAACATATTGTATGCTCAAAATATGTGTCTGCACAAACTTACCTGCTGGCGAGAACTTGGGGTGTTTTAACAAATATCATTAACATTTTTCTGGAAGCACCTTATTGCGAGAAAATAATCTGCATAATTTTACATAAGTTCTCAATACGTCAACTCAGATATATTGCTGTCAGATATTTTTAAAGAATATCTATAGGTTTGAATCGCACCTGGAGTAGCACAGTAGGAGCCAGCTGTGCAGGAAGTGGGTTCCTGGGATCCCTGTGGACAGAAGAAGCCAGGTCGACACTGTCCACCCGTGGTGTTAGCCGGACAAAGGCAGTCTCCATAGCTGCTGTAGTCCAGCAGGGTGTAGTCATTGGGTTGAGGGCTCCAGGCTGCATTTACACAATACCATCCTGCAAAAGAAAAGAAGAATAGTGTCAACACTGCACCCTTAACTAAATGCATGCGTTGGCATGTGTAATTAGTAAACGCACACACCCAGGTTAGTGTAACAAGAGATTAGAGATGGCCAATCGGCACCATGGAAGGACACAATACCAAGAGTTTAAGTGGGAAACAACTGACCAGCACCAAGAAGAGACACCACATCAAGAGTTTTGAGTTTGCAATGGCCAGTCAGCACCAAGGACATACACCGCAAGAACAGTTTGAAGTTTGAGATGGCCAATCAGCACCATCGTGAGACACCACAAAACAGTTTTAAGTTTGAGACGGCCAATCAGCACCAAGGAAAGACACCACAAGAACAGTTTAAAGTTTGAGATGACCAATCAGCACCAAGGAAAGACACCACATCAAGAGTTTTAAGATTGAGATGGCCAATCAGCACCAATGGGAGACACCACACAGAGTTTCAAGTTCAAGATGGCCAATCAGCACCAAGGAGAGACACTACACCAAGAATTAAGTTAGAGATGACCAATCAGCACCAAGAATCATAGAAAATAATACCCCATAGCAAGGAGTGATAGAGTCCATGTAAACTGGTAGAATTACAGATTCTGACAGATCGCATTCTCTACCCATATTACTACCTTAAATTACATATATCAGACCTGTTTGTACTGCTAGTCAGCCCTTACCTGGGTTACACAGTGCTGTAGGCGAGGCCTCTCCCCCCAGACAGTAGCTCCCAGCTGTACATGGCGAGCAGTCCTCCACAGACTGGCCCATCTCTGTACCTCGGAAATATCCTCGTGGACATGGATATTCACTAGAGTATCTTGTCCCTAACAAGTAAAAAAAAAACAGCACATGGATTAGCCCGACTAACTGAGAAGTGCACTACATTAAATACAGTGCAGATATTACACAATGAACTCAACTGAATGTGACCTGACTTCCTGTGTTTGACCTTTTGTGACCTGTCACTCAACATTACAAACACATAAATAAATACACCAAACAATTATACCTCGGTACCCAACAGTAATAACAGCACAAACAAAAAAACACAAAGTTAACCACTATTACCATTAGGACAGTAGTGTCCCACAGGACAAGGGTAAGTCTCGTAGGTGGTGGAGTTCTCAGGGCAGTAGTACCCGGCTGGGCAGTCTGCACACTCGGCCTGCTGGGTCAGGTTGTTGTAGGTTCCTGCTGGACAGCCCAGTGGGTAGGACGTTCCTCCTGGACAGTAGTGACCAATCCAGCAGGGCCCGCCCATTGACGCATCGTCCCCTGAAGTGAACACACAGTACTAGTAGTACATAGTCTTGTACACAGGTAGCACATAGCAACGTAGTATAATGAGCTTGTTTGGAATGGAAGAAGAAACTGACCTACAACAGTTTGTTTCCGTTCTCTGAGGGTAAAGATGAATTAGCGTGTAAACAAATACATAACCTGCACAAGCATGCCAACTATAATAACAACTACAACACTGAGACACATGTGAGCAAGTCTCCCTCCTGACCTGTAGGGTTGGGGTGGACGATTCCCTCGGAGACAGTAGAAGCCGGGATCACACGGTCCTGTGGGTGCAGTCAGGTTAGTGGACCTGCAGTACTGCCCCAGAGCACAGTCGGTACAGCCGGCAACACTCTCCACGTGGGTCTGGTCCGAGTAGGTGCCGCTGGGACAGGGGTCGGGGTTGGACGTTCCTGACGGGCAGTAGAAGCCAGGAGGACACGGGCCACCGTTACCTCGGAATGTCCCCGGTTCAGGGTTACTCGACATTGATGCCTGAGGACAGAAGTTCACAAACCACGTCAGATAATTTCACACATATAGTATCAATCATTTTGAAGCATGAGTCACTCACTTACATCTTGTAGTAAATAAAGTTAACTTTAGAATTTACTACTGATGCATTACATGAAATTTCCAAATGAATGTGGAAGTATTCTGTACCTGATATGCAATAGTAACCAGGATCACAGGGACCAGATGTAGAGTTGGCTTCTTCAAAACTGGACACAGCTAACCCAGAACAGTATTTCCCTACGAGACAACATAGAAAACAAAATATTATATAATAGTTAACGGACAGTAGTGTGTTGTTGGACAGCTTTCTCTGCCTCACTGCTGAAAGATAGCAGAATCTGATGCTGTCAGAAATATCTGACTCTTCAGAGAATTTATCCAATAGTTTATCTCATTACAAGGAACAAATCTTACCGGCAAAACAATCCAGACAGCCGTCCTCACTGCCGATTCTCTCCTCAGGGTTGTACGTGCCCCTGGGACAGGGTTTGTGGTCGTAGCCTGTCCCCTCGGGGCAGTAGTAGCCTTGTGGGCAGGGCAGGAGGTGGTTACCGTCTCCATCTGTCACATAGTAACCTGCAGGACACAGGGTGGTAAACAGGTACATGGCCTTAATTTCAACAGGTCTAACATATCAACTCTTTTCAAACTTAAAGGCACCAAAATTTAATGCAATTTCAGGGAAGCATCAGACTTCTAGCAGTCTTTCTACTGGTCAGGCCAATAGAAGCCACATGTTAAACAGATGTAAGGTGTACCTGCTGGGCATGGGTAACATTGTGAGTTTCCTGTCTCGTTGACGTAAGTCCCGTTAGCACAGCGCAGTGGGTCGGCTGTTCCCCCGGGACAGTAGTGAGCGGTCGGACAGGCCTCTCCGCCATGCTGCGCCTCGTCTGTGGGGCGGGCGTACAGCGCACCTCCGGAGCAGAAGAACCCTGTAGGGAAGTCACAGGTATGGTCAGGGCTAACTAACTACATCAAACTACCAGATACTGAAAAGAAATTTTGTCTACCACATATCTCATCAATTATAGAATTATTATAGAATAACTACTGGACTCAACAGGACAGTTACTGAATGAACTTGGATCTATTTTGTTTCAGTCTGTATTCTTGTAATGCATATTATGGGTTATATGTATGATTTACATGTACATGTAAACAGCACTGTTATAGACTACATGTATGTGTCCATAAAATGAGTGGGTAAACTGAGCAGATGAAGAACATACCAGGACCAACAGTCAAGTAATTAGACTTAATGACAGATGAGAAGACAGTACCTGGAGCACATTCTCCCACAGGTTCCAGCAGGGCGTGGCCCTCACAGTAATACCCAGGAGAACAGTCGATGCAGTCTCCCTCCTGCTGCAGGCCTGTCGTGTTGCTGAAAGTGCCGTTGGGACAAAAGTTGGCATACGGGTCGCTGGTCCCTTCTGGGCAGAAGTAGCCTGGTGGACACAGGCCTCCTGTCTCTTCATCCGTCTGAAAAATCAGCACAAGTCAGTTTAAGGCAGTCTGTTCAAGTATGTCATACTGATGAGTGTGCCACACAGTGACATGGAGATGTGGGTAAACCTCTGGTCACAACCTCATTGTAGGATTTCTTAGTGCCCAATCACAGTAACATTCATTCATTCATTGTACGATTGTTGTACCATCTCAAACTGAGAGCATTCTGCAGTTTGTACAATCATGTCATTGAAATTGAAATAGAAAACTAAGCATTCCAATAAATGTATCATAATGCATCTATCTTGTAAGATTATATGGAAAAGGTACAGAAGCTTAAGCGATGCAGCCATAGACAATATAATCCATTATTCATTATTCAGTAGGAAACATTCTTGATGCTCAAACTATTTCACGTTTTAAGTTATGATTAAGAGACCACACTTTTGTTCTGAGATGTGGACTATGCTTGTGGTAACATGTACATAACTAGAGTTCCACGATCTCATACCTTCGCCAAATGAGGTTAGCCTTTATGGCTAAGAAATTATAGATTAATTACTGATTGTGCAAATAGGATCCTATATTGCATCAATTATATCTGTAGATCATATTCTACACCAGAAGACAGTCTTATCTTATCAAAGAATGCCATTATAGTATTTCCTCATAAATTATGCAAATGAGGTCCTTATTTGAATAAGTTATGTTTAATTATGTTCACCTTTACATAACTTTCAAATATCCCAAGTATGAAATTCCAGGCAGTTACCACTATGTAATTATAACATTTTCTAATTAATTATGCAAATTAAGTCCTCATTTGCATTATTGATATCTGCCTGTATTTCTGCCGTTCTCAATTATGTATGACACATGCTTGAATAGTCCTATCATGGAATGCAGCTGATTAATAGACTTTCCTCATTAATTATGCAAATTACATTAATATTTGCATAATTGTAATATCATTATGTCAAGCATCACTTCAGCTACC